TTCAGTGCAGACAAATTTACATAATTTTCGCCCACAGACCTATAATCATCATTTACCTAGTTCTGAAACAATATTGAAACCAAAAAGGAAGGAGACTTTTTGGTGAGGAAATTTCTCAAAAAAAAACTGTCCCTTGAAAGATCGAGGTAGAGATGGAAGGAAGCGATTAAGTCGTGGTGTGATTATTATCATATTCTACGTTCTAGGGCCGTATAGACTAGTAGGTAAATGCGAACATTTGAGAATGCGCCCTCATCCTTCCCTTTATCTAATCCTATATAAATTCCTCCCCTTTCAGAATTTCAATTTCAGCCCTGAAGACGGAAACGTTATATTTCTCCGAAAAGCTACCCAATAATTTATAAGGCGCCAAAGTACAGAAGCCCTTCTTCTTCTTCACCGAACTTAAAACCTCATATCTCTTAAGACGAAGGACATTTGTAAGGCAGGTTGTGACGAAGGGAAGCGGATGGAACTAGATGAGGATAGTATCTGATGACGTCATTTTTTATTGTTTCGGAATCTGGCTCTGCTGCCGTCTTCAGGTAAACTCGCCTTTCTGTTGAGTCTGACAGAAGGGGTTCAGGGATACAGATTCAGTCCCTTCTATCGGACCCACAGTACAGGCAGTTTCACTTGAAGAAGGGAGCAGAGCCAGTTCCCGAAACGTGGGGCTTCGTTTTTAAGTATAATAAAGTGGATAAGTCCAGAAAAAACAGCAATGCAGAATTAGCTCTTATGTGTCTTTAAGAATCCTTGCATTCGGGATTCCACACAGTTCTGCCACTCCCAAGCAGAATTTTGGAAAATTTCATAAAACAAATGACGATTACATCTTCACTTCTCATATTAAACTAAGACTTATCAAAAATTTTGTTAAAGGAATGGACAAGGAAGGAGAAGGATTCAAATATCTGAGGGGAATTTTTCCGAATCTTAGTGATGCCAAGTTGAAAGAAGGAATTTTTGCCGGGCCTCAGATCAGAAAACTGTTGGACGATGGAAATTTTGAAGCCAGACTTTCTGCTAAAGAACTCGCAGTGTGGAAATCTTTTGTATCTGTGGTGAAAGGTTTCCTTGGAAAGCGAAACGAAGAAAACTACCATCTTTTAGTGGAGAATCTTTTGCAAAATTACAAGAATTTGGGATGTAGAATGTCATTGAAGATCAATTTTCTTCATTCACACCTGGATTTCTTCCCAGGAAACTTGGGCGACGTAAGTGATGAACAAGGGGACAGATTCCACCAAGATATGCGAACTTTGGAAGAACGCTACCTGGGGAGGTGGGACCCAGCTATGATGGGAGACTATTGCTGGTTTTTGCAGAAGGAAGACACTACACCGCACAAAAGAAACAAGAAATAGACTCGCAGCAGACTTTTTGTCTTTTGCTCTCATTTTTGTGTGTAAAATTTCACTTCATTTTTTTTTTAATAATTTCTTATTTGTTTTCAACTATGTTTTAATTGTCTCACTACTCAACCAAGATGAATAGATCGTATACAAACCCATAAAAATGACATTAGTAATACGCTAAACTTTGTACTGTATACGGAAACGAGAAAACGTAAAAGTTATCGTATCAAACAAATCTTACGTGTTAGGTGTTTTTCAAGATCATATTTGAAATCGGGCGCCCCAAAATTAGTAAAGAACACTGAAAATTGCCCATGTTACCGGAAAAAAAGTGAAAAATTATTTCCCTGTGTTATCAGTGATCGTTTATCTCATTGTTTGACCTGTATTTTAATTCCACCACACAATTTTTGGTCCGATCCTTTGCATTAATGATTTACGAAGACGAATTGAGCGCACTCTTCCATACTTCGAAAGCTTTCTTGCTTAAGTCAATGTTATGAAAACGGACTCCACATACAGTTTCGTGCGTTGCACTGCACCTACCTCGCAAGCGTGTAGCGGCACTCCTTGAGAAAACCCTATTGTCGTTGTAGGATTTAAGAACTAAGCATTTGTTAATGACCTCTCCTTTAAAGCTGCATCATTCTCAGAGGCAACATGTTACAGTATCTTATCATTTTTCAGTACATTAGTTATCTCTAAACAGCGAGTTATGAAAAGATAGCATAAAACTCAAACAAAGAGCACATACAGTACAGGCATCACTATTGTTGCCAAGGATAACAAAGTTTTGTTGGTGGGTGAAATAAAAACAATGCAAGATAAAATACGCGTAACAATGCAAGGAAAATTAAATAAAACAAAAGGAGAGGTTCCGCTGTTGCTGAGCGCCTTTTTTCTCATTCTTCCCTTCTCTCATTTCCACAAGAGACAATTTCTTTGTCTTTCAAAATGTTACAACTCGCTGTAATATATATTATCGTATAGTGTAAACCACTTGGCTTCATTTCGCCTTGTGGTTGTTTGAGGACGCGGGGGGAGGGGGGGGGAGAGAGAGAGAGAGAGAGAGAGAAGTGTTTTATAAAGTGAACATAGAGGATGGCACGAAGTTAATTTCTTGAGATAATATGTCTGTGTGCACATAAAGTTTCCGCCGCGTTTCTACAGTAAGCCCATACAGTTGTTAAAATTTGTACGACGTCCTTTCATTTTTTTCATAAGTTAGCAAACATCTGTTCCATTGTCACAATTAACTGCAATATTAACAGTAAGTAATGTAATAATCTACTTTACATTTACTTAAGGCTGCAATTTTCTCATTTTGAATTAAATTAGAAAACTTAGCTTTATGTAAGATGGACAAGGAACGTTTGTAATTACGTCTGTAGTGTCTAACGGAGAAAGTACGACTAAACACGAAAGGTGTTTTAAGATGCGGTACTGTTGTTTTCACGGCAGATCAGAGAGAATCAGAAAATCTCAGGTCTTTCAATAGTTTGGAGCGCGTCTGCTGCATAAGAAGAAGAGTTTATATCCACAACACTGTAATATATAGGCCTATATAAGTAGAAGCATGCAAATGTTGCCTATTTTCTTATAGGTATATAAGGAAAATTTTCAATGTCTACTGTGACGAGTAAAATACAGTGATTCTCGTTATACTCGATTTCGCTATCCGCATTTTAGCACATCCGCTGCATTATTCCAGTATCATGAGAGTCAATATCCTATCCGCGGTTACGGTAGAACTGTAGGACAATCCCACTGATTTGCAGGCGCAGTTTCACTGACTCGCCGCAACATGTTAATTTCGGGGACTTCAAATTTCGGCCTCTCATGGTATATAATTCAAAAGATTCACCGGCATGTTATGCCTCCCAGTTTTACGCGTTTTCAATATACGCGGAAATCAGCAGAAACGCAATCCCCGCGCATAACGAGAGTTCCTTATATAAATTTTTATGATTAATTTATAGTTTATTTAACGGCTATTTCTCAACTACAAGGAATATAGAGTCAAAGAAGAAGATTATTAATTATTTTAAGGTGCCAACTATCATTTTCCCGAGGACAATAAGGACATCCATGAATGTAGTATAACCGGTATCGGGGTCTAAAATCAAACCTGGTACCTCACGAATGGAAAGCAGAAATGCTAATCACTAACCCACGTATTACCCTTAAGCTTTCTTTAACTGTGAGTATTATGGTTCTGAATGAAATAAACAAATGTCAGGCTAAGTAAATTTTAAAGTTATTTTTTATTGGATAGGTTCTGGGAAATGTACTCAATAAGTATTTTAATTACGCTGTCTATAAAGTACACATGATCGCTTTTGGATAGCCCACTTTAGCCTGCTGTTATATTTCCACTTAAGAAACCGACGTATTTAAATATGATATGGAAGTTGTAAGGAAAACAGTGCGATATATTGAGCCACCGTGTAGGCGGGTGTATTACACTGCCTGAAATTGAATAATAAGGTGAAGCCATTGGAGAGAAATAAATGGCAATAGAAATACACGACATCTTTCTTAAGTAACCCGTCTTCCCGTTGGGATGTACATTCCACGCATTTTACATAGTGTCTGGTTACCATGCTATTGCTGTAGACTCCAGAATGACACGGCGCTACGCTACGCGCTGGAGACAAAGCAGAAACATAAAAGGTAATAAACTAAACCACTAGGTTCCATCCTCAAAAAGAATATGGCTCACTGGATGCAAATTACAGACGCGCGAAACTGTCTGAGGAAAAATAAGACGGCTGCATTATTCAAATTCACAACTGGTTAACATTTTGATGTAATATATTTAAAGTGTCCAGTATAAGCATTTTCATCACTATGTCACCATTTATAACCCAATAATTAACTACAGTTTACATATTAATAAAGAATTTTTATATGTATTTGAAGAAATCACGTAACGGGGCAAAATTATTTGGAGGATGTTGCTACAAATTTTCTTATTTCTGGTTGTGTTATCTGCCTCAGTATGTAATCGTTAACAGCCAACAGTCCGCCAACCTCACCCCGTTCCTCTAAAGCGAAGAATCGTAGACAAAATCAGTAAAGATAGCCAATGTTCCACTTGAAGTGACAAACCCGGGAAAATTAATAACTTTCTTCTATTTAGGTGCGTCGAAAATGTTATAAAACGGCGCATTTCTCCCACACATCGCATCGTAGGAAAAAGTCCCTCTTTTAGAGACAAATCCGAGGAAATTATAGAAGATTAGACACAGGATGTCCCAAAAACATACACAAAGGCGCGTTAGTATTTTTCATATGAAATGAAAGACACGTTATAAATAAATAACTGGATTTGCAATGCGACAATCACAATTGTAACAAATCTAATAATATATACTGAGATTTCACTTTAAATGTTAGTCTAATCTGTCAATAAAGACAAGTCTACATTTATATAAATTTAAATTTATTCAGTTTAATTGAAATATGGAAGGAAGCGGCGAGCAAACGATGTTTCCGCAAGTAAAATGTCAACGCATACGCCTAATAAGTATTCTTCATTTATCTGTGGGAAATTCTTGCTGTAAGTAGCTTAAATCTTTCATGACGCGGAGCATCTAAGTTATAATCTTAGACTATAATGAAATTAAATGTTGTCCTTACTTGAATTCACACCTTGGAAGTCATGGCGGTCCATTAGCGCCAACTGAAGGCCTTCCAGAGTGACGTCATAGTGAGGCACCCCTGACTGTTGTCCAGGATCCGCCACGGACACGGGAATCTTCTCCTCATCCTCCTCACCTGTCAGACAAAAGTACAGTCACGTCATAAAAAAAATAATACGTGACCGCTTTGAAACGTCCTGTCGTATTTAGAGGTCACAGAACGGATTCCAGATGCAATATATGATTGACGATTTTCATTTGTACTAATTCTCGCCAATTTTTAGAAAATTGTGTGTTAACAGGAAAGGACTTTATTCGATTTGCTAATAAATACCTTTCCATCCATAAGGTCTGTGGAGTGCATAAACGACAAGAAACAAAATTAATAATTTTTTTATGTGATGCGTTTCGTGCTCAAGACGTGAAGCCAACCGCAAACAGAAGAAAAGAGACATCCATCGTTGCAGTAGCAAGAATGGCGGCAACCAAACAAGTCGCTTGGCGGACCAAAGACAGATGAACACAACAGTTGGCATGCGGGCGACTGCTGTTTCACTCTGACACCGGTTATTAATATTAACGCCCCTTTAGAAGAGCGGGCAACTTAATAATAAATCATATCTTTATTACAACACACAGGCAGGCTTGAGATAATGCAGGCCTCTTCCTTCATATTCATTCGTTTCGGACCTTGAATTAAGACGTCATAACTCGCACGGATACGTCTTAACAGTCGCGTTTTAAAAACGAAATAAAAATGTATTACAACGCGCGAAAAGTGGGTGCCATAATGTTTACTAACATAATTTCGCCCGTGTAATATTCAGAAGAAAAGAGTTTAATTTTTGAAGATGGCTGTCTTCTAAGTTGTTGCGCCGTGTACTCTGGTAGAAGTTAATCGACGTTTCAGAGGTTCTTCATAAACTACCAGACTATACTGTACAACCACCTAGAATACAGTAATCTTCTTACTCGTCGCCATAAAAACCTCAAATCTTACGATTTAATTGTGTCCCTCAAATTTTAAACTTTCGTTTTGCTAAAGTAGGCTAAGATATAAGAAACCTCTATTTACATTCCTAAACACAAAACAAAATAATTTAAACTTCTGTTTGGATATAATAAATCACAAGCTCTATACAACTCGGTAACATATGAAAAGGACAAGAAGTTTTGCTACTAAATCGGCTTTCTTTAAATATAGAGCAGTATAAGACTGGTAACATACAGCGTAAAAAAGGGATTTAAATTTTCATAACCGATTTATAGAAAATAAGAATTCCCGGTTAAATATTAAGTGGGGACTTATGTCTGTTGATAACCATAATGGCAACAGGTTGGGCCGACCAGGCTTATTTAAGACTTCTATTCACAAGGCTCTACTCGAGAGATTGGATATTCTGACTAAAGTTCTCCTTAGTTTTCTTTACAACCTTTAGATGAAGGAACCCATTACAACTTAGCTGCTTATACTACGCAATTCGTAATTAATAATTATGTTAAGACCTTACTCAGTTGGTACCGCCTTGGTATATAAATTGGACTATCAGCTTTGAGTATAGCAGAAAATTACACACTCCTACGCACTAAAATCAAAGCAGACAGTGCTCTTTTCTGATTCTCTAAAATTTCTGGGTATCGTTACTAAAGAGCACGTCATGTCTTCCAAATATAAATATGTTTATCGTTATTTTATTAGCAAAAAAAATGAAAAATATTTTAATTCGAACACTTATAAAGATATGAAAAGAAACAACACATAAATCTGTACCACACATAGTCCTTATCTGGAATGGTTGATGAATTCTCCGTTCCGAATTTTGTGAGATTACATAGTCCAGCATTCCATGCTGTAATACTTGTAAGAAAACAAAAGCAGGCCCTTCTACACAAGCGTTCTGTAGACCGTAGACGAGATACAAAAAAGGGAAACATTCTTGAATAATTCCATTCATGTTTTATAAGTCCGAAGATTTCCAAACAAAACCAACCCTTTCGGTTTACCGACATGAGATACAACAGCACCTCTACTTCAAGAAATGCAAAGAAACTGGTAGTAATTCATTGCGATTCAAAATGATAACAATTAACATGGCTGGCGTAATCGCAATGATACATCTTTCTCCATCTCTCTAGAGTGACGAAGGTACAAGAAGTTAAACAAGAAGTAAAGAAAGTAAGAAAATAAAAAATTTTGGTGGGGTTGCAGGGAGACGAACGTATCAACAATAGAATCCATCATTCCACTCCGACGTTAAAACCTTATACAGAAACTACTGAGAAGAAATCCTTGATAATGATCAAGCAAACGACAGGCAACCTTTGTCATTACGGTAAGAAAATAAAGAGAAGTCTATACTAAATGCCAAGTTAACATTTGATCATATACTGCACCTGCCACTGGAATCCCACATTACTTATCATACACGTCATGTGTCATATCAACCATTAAATTCTAACGATATCCATACTTTAATTACCGCGTGTAAAATGCTAAAGACAAAGAGTTGAACACAAATTTAAGCAAGGAATTTATGGACTTTTAATAACGATTTAAGATAGCTTTTCTGATCTACGTAGAAAACAAAACGTTTTGACATGTCCTATTAATGAGGTAAACTATCTTTCAATTGATCTTTAATCATTTATTTATAACTCAATGACCTGGGAAGCGTCTACTGGAAGTCTCGCGATGCTGTGTAATAAGCGAACAGCTAAATCACCCGCGCCTTCCGTCAAAATGTATCTAACCTTGGGGTCTAAGCCCTCGGCAATCAGGTCCTCTTTCTCTTGACGGAAATTCATTTTGACAGGGTGGTTACCCTATTCTACTTAGAGATTTAATCCCTACAGAGAGGGTGAGCTACTCCTGACTTATGGCGGCAGAGAATTAAGCTTCCCTAAACTTTAAATCTCGCAGGGTCATTCTTGCGCTCAAATCATAAAGCCAAGTCGCTTCAGGAGCAAATGGCAACAAATGGTTTTTGTACACGTATTTCTCTCTAAATTACCCTTAGAATTGATAGATACTGACGGCAACAATGCGGAAAGTCCTCTTCGCTAGAAAAATCCGGCAGAGAAAACTTAATTATTTTTATTTGTGAATAAATTCTATTTCATTCAGTAAATAATACAAACTAACGTCTTAGAATGCAACAGAATTGTTGTAATGTAAGTCTGATGCACAAACTCTTCGCTTTATAAAAAACAACAGTACAATACATGCCCTCCTTCCGCAGTGATACACTATTTTAGGCGCTTAGTGATGTCATCCATGAGGCTTTGTAACACGTCACGATTCGCTTGTTGACCTTTGAGTTCACCCAAAGTGGCGAGCAGCGTCTCGATTACGCTACTCTTGAAATGACCCCACAAAAGTATTTGGTCAGTTCAAATCCCCAAAGCGTGACAGCCTATCCAGGCCTGTACATGGCTTATATTTTTAACAAAAAACACACACAAATAGACACCGCTTGAATAAACACACTAACATGCATCTTATTACACACATATTCTCCTTATTTATTTACTCCATCCAGTTCCCAGTATTATTATAGTTATCTTTCAGTTCATCACAGCTTTCTCCCTCTTCCAGTTTTACTATCAATTCCATTTCCCTTTAGTTCTCATGTGAAAAGTTATATTTAAATTCTGAACATCCCTCGACCAAACCTCTGCTTTAATAAACAATGCCAAGCTGATTTTGGAATGTAAACTTGTCACAGGACATAATCCCGTCTTTGTGTATCCTGCATCCATCTACAGCCTATCAGCGTCATTCGAATCTTTACAAACCCAGCCGCTGATTCGGTGTTCTTAATTAATATGACTGACAAAATGCGAAAGCTCGATAAATTGTTAATAATCAAATTAACCTTCTCCGGCGTTTCACCTTCATTCCCTCCTTATACTTTCTTCAACGGTCTCTTTCTTCAAATTTCTCATATTTTGTCGTCAATCGTAAGCATTTGGTTATCTGCAGGGCTAAAATTATGATCTTTAGTTGGTCGCTCCAAGGCCTACTCGATGCACAATATCTACGTTTTAAAGTTACCAAATTGTATTCGAACCGATCTTGCCACACCTGAGTCTGACCAATAAAGAAACACAGAAAGGGTATAGCGTTTATCCATCTTTAAGTGTCGTGGTGAATGGCTCCCCGCCTCATGGCAGCCTCAAGTTGTAACGTCGTCCATGG